TTTTCAGCACTTAGAAAATGAATATTTGGTTAACCTAAAACGGCAAGTTGGATATATCTTAAGTTCTATCTATACTAATAGCTTCATAATTACCACACTAACTTATCAATACAAATTACATGATATTGCCAAGTTATATAACTGTGCCATTTCCCAGTTATTCCCCTATTTATCACTTTGAAAATAGGGCATTGTATGGTTAACCTATTCTGGCAAGTTGGATTTATCTTAAATTACTTCATTTATTTAAGATAACTTTCATATTTGGTAGATGGATACCTTAAAATTATTAATGGTCCTTTATTTTTTAATGGAGTATGGGGTCCATTGGGTCAAGGTCACTCGTGGAATTTTTTTTTTAAACATTTTTGCTCATACAGCCTCTATTCATGTTTAATACACACTGCTATGGGAGGTCCTTGGGTTTAGTTAGGGGTCATTTGGGTCAAGTTCAGGTTTGAGTTAAGGGTCAGTTGGGTCAAGGTCACCAATGACAAAAAGATATTTTTATACTTTTACAGGTGTATTAACCTTATTCTATTGACAGATGTCTCTTATATTTGGTAGGAATATAAAAATAAAAATTATTTTCTTTGTATGGAGTTAGGGGTCAGTTGGGTGTCACCAGTGCTAAATATAGATTTTTACACTTTTGCTCATACAGCCTTTATTTATTGACAGATGTTTTTCATATTTAGTAGGGAAATAACTTGCATGGTATTCTTCCTTCTGATTGAGGTAGGGGTCAGTTGGGTCAAGGTCACCAGTGGTTAAAAATAGATTTTTACACTTTTGCTCATACAGCCTTTATTTATTAATAGATGTATTTTATACTTGGTAGGAAGATAACTTACATGGTATTTTTCCTTTGGATAAAGTTAGGGGTCAGTTGGGTAAAGGTCACAAGTGCTAAAAGTAGATTTTTACACTTCTGCCCATACAGCCTTTATTGATAGATGTTTTTCATATTTGGTAGGAAGATAACTTACATGATGTTCTTTTTTATTGAGGTAGGGGTCAGTGGGTCAAGGTTAAGGATGCCAAAAATAGGTTTTTACACATTTGCTTATACAGTCATTATTTTTTGACTTAAGTTTTTTAGCTCACCTGAGCTTGCTCAGGATGAGCTTTTAGGATCGGTGAATGTCCGTCGTCCGTCGTCCGTCGTCCGTCGTCCGTCCGGCCGTCCACAATTGCTTGTGAACACTCTAGCGGTCGCATTTTTGCCTCAATCATCATCAAACTTGGTCAGGATGCTTATCTAGTTGAAAGCTCGGATGAGTTCGAACATGGGTCATCTCGGATGAAAAACTAGGTCACAAGAGCTAAAAATAGAAAAACCTTGTGAACACTCTAGAGGTCACATTTTTGACCCAATCTTAATCAAACTTGGTCAGGATGTTTGTCTAGGTGATAGCTCGGATGAGTTCGAACATGGGTCATCTCGGATGAAAAAGTAGGTCACAGGAGCTATAAATAGAAAAACCTTGTGAACACTCTAGTGGTCACATTTTTGAACCAATCATCATCAAACTTGGTCAGAATGCTTGTCTAGTCAATTGCTTGGATGAGTTCGAACATGGGTCATCTCGGATGAAAAACTAGGTCACCGGAGCTATAAATAGAAAAACCTTGTTAACACTCTAGCGGTCACATTTTTGCATCAATCATCATCAAACTTGGTCAGGATGCTTATCTAGTTGATAGCTTGGATGAGTTCGAACATGGGTCATCTCGGATGAAAAAGTAGGTCACCGGAGCTAAAAATAGAAAAACCTTGTTAACACTTTAGCGGTCACATTTTTGCATCAATCATCATCAAACTTGATCAAGATGCTTGTCTAGGTAATAACTCGGATGAGTTCGAACATGGGTCATCTCGGATGAAAAACTAGGTCACAGGAGCTAAAAATAGAAAAAACCTTGTTAACACTCTAGTGGTCACAATTTTGACTCAATTGTCATCAAACTTGGTCAGGAAACTTGTCTAGGTCATTGCTGGGAATAAATCGAACATGGGACATCTCGGATGAAAAACTAGGTCACAGGAGCTAAAAATAGAAAAATCTTGTTAACACTCTAGTGGCTACTGTTGTGATCCAAATATTCTGTTAATTGGTCTGAAAGTTTGTTTTGATGATTTCTAAGTCAAGATCGAACATGGGTCATCTTGGATGAAAAACTAGGTCACACCGCCCAAATATGGAAAAACCTTGTTAACATTCTAGTGGTCACATTTTCGACTCCATTATCATCAAACTTGGTCAGAATGCTTGTCTAGGTAATTGCTTGGATGAGTTCGAAATCGCATGTGAAACTAGGTCACCAGAGCTAAAAATAGAAAAATCTTGTTAACACTCTAGTTGCTACTGTTTTGATCCAAGTATCCTGGAAATTGGTCTGAAAGTTTGTTTTGATGATTTCTAGGTCAAGTTTGAATATGTGTCACCTGGGTAAAAAACTAGGTCGCACTGCTCAAATATGGATAATCCTTGTTAACACTGTAGTGGTCACATTTTTGACTCACCTGTCATGAGACTTGGTCAGAATGCTTGTCTAGGTAATTGTTTGGATGAGTTTGATAATTCAGGTGAGCGATCTAGGGCCATCATGGCCCTCTTGTTTAATATTTGGTAGGATGATAATTTGCATGGTCTTCTTCCTTTGGATTGAGTTAGTTGGGTCAAGGTCACCAGTGATAAAAATAGATTTTTTTTCACTTTTGCCCATAGAGCCTTTATTTATGGACATATGTCTTTCATATTTGGTTGGAAGATAACTTGCATGTTTTTCCTTTCAATTGAGTAAGGGGTGAGTGGGTTAAGGTCAAGAAGGCCAATAATAGTTTTCTACACATTTGCTAAAACAGCCTTTATTTTTGACTCATATTTTTCATATTTGAATTTTGATAAGGTGGTCCTTTAAGTTCGGATGGAGTTTGGGGCCGCTTGCAAGGTAAAGTCTTGCATTTACATGTATATATATATAGATGATAAAGCTGAATATTTTTCAACTTCATCACAAGTCATAGCAATGACTTGCCAACTTATATTTTTCACAATTACAAAACGCTGTGACTTTGTCAAATTATATAACTGTGTTTACATTTTGTTTGTGACTATTTTCTGTCCTTAACTGAGTGAAAGGGTAAATATTTTTTGAAAAATTTGTTACTGACAAGAATCTGAGCCGGGGGACGTTTGTGTTTAACAAACACGTTCTTGTTTATCCTCTCTTTAAACAACTTTTTAAAACTTTCTTGCGATTTTGACATGCAGACATGTCTACATCCCCGCAAGGGGTTTGGCATTAATGGAAGATAAATTTCTCCATAATTATTCACAAATTAAAATATGTTTTGTCAATAGAATTGGCTTTTCAACTGTTTTATCTTTGTGTTTTAAACTCCATAGTTTTTCGGTTAGGAGCCAAAAAATTGTTTCTTTCATCTTTGTGCTACCACAAGAACTTGAAATCCTGTCAATAATTATAATAACAGTAAGGAGTTCATTTAAAAAAAAATCCCATCCCCATTTTAATATGGGATATTTCTTAATGGGATGTTACTGCTATTTTTGACAAGATTTCAATTCATTGGCTGCCTGATAGACTTAAAAGATGACCTTCACCTTTCTTCAAAGAAAAAGGCAAAGGAAACCTTTTCTAAAACTACAAAGGAAAAGGTGATGTAGATTTAGCAATAACTAGCATGGCACAAAATAGAAAATATTATCATGAATAAACCAGTTCTCAAACCTCAAAGCATTCAAAAAGTCTTTTAGTATAAATAAAAATATATTTTAAATATAATATAAAAATTCTATACATAATTATGTACACTTTAATTTTTATGTAACATTTCTATATAATTTGGCTAACATTTAACAATTTAAACACCTCTATTTCCATCTTGGAAAAGTACAACCCTCTTTGTAAAGCTGACATGGCCTCTTAAAATGTAGAACCTATTATCTCAAACCTCTTCAAGTATCTCTGAAATTCTACTGTTTGGTTTATAATGATTGTCATATGAATATCACATGATATTGAAGTACCCTACAGGATGCAGGTACCTTCTTCATTGCAGCATCTGCATCTATGTACATTCATGTCTAATAAAAACCCTGGGGAGTCATAGGTTTTCCTTATATGCATATACTTAAAACTTAGAACATCTTCTACTCTGAATTGACAAAGGCTAGAGGTTAGGCATTTTGTATGAAATATTGTGTAAAGGCCCACTACATAGATTGTACAAATCATAACCCTGGGGTCAAAATTGGCTCCGCTCCAGGGATTTTTCTATTTATATACAGTAAAAACCTAAAAATTCTTCTTGTCTGAAGGTACAAGGCTTAGAGCTTTGATGTTTGGTGTATAATATCATCTGTAGGTCTTCTATCAAAGTTTTTCAAATTTTGCCCCTAAAATTTTGGCCCTGCCCGGGGGTGATAGGTTTTCCTTATATGTATATTCTAAAAACTTGAAAGATATTTTTCTCTGAATTGATAAAGGCTAGAGGTTAGATATTTTGCATGGAATATTGTGTAGTGGGCCTCTACCAAATTGTTCAGACTAATGCTTTATAAATCTAGCTTTAGTCTTATGCTAAGGTTTATTCTCTGTGAGACTGCGGTAGTGGTCTCCGGATTTTATGTTATAACTGAGTATAATGAACTGTTTTCTAACAAATTTTAAGCACCATCCAGTTATAATTGGAAATAGATTGTAGGATTGTAACATGCAGATGTTAATAAGATAGAACATACTCTTACCATCTTTATATGCATGTAAGAAAATGTAATTAATTTTGAGCATCAAAATAGATATTTCAAATATTGACACAATATTAAACCTCTTCTATGTCTAGAAATTGTAAACTTACCTACAGCAATATCTATTTCTAAAGATACATGCTTGGTGAAAATATTGACTGACTTTCCTTTAGGACAAGAAGCTCTTTGTTCCTTAAAGAAATCATAATATGTTTTCTTTTTCAGATTGTATATTTTATATTGATAATCATGCCATCCAATGCCAAAGTGTTGATTCATTATGGACCATATGAAGCAACTGGGATAGTGGAACATAGAGAATCAAGACTGCAGGGTCTAAAAGGTAATTAAGTTGTTTTGTTTTTTTTTAAATAAAATTGTATTTCAACAATCCTGCCATATGACTTTCAAACATCTGATGGTGCCAGTCTGTTGCACAATTAAATCAGGTAGAATTATCAACTAGCAGATAGCCAGCTGACCAATGCCTCCTTACATAAAACAATCCAAGATTCTTAGTTTTATTCAAATATAAATATGCTAGACAAGGCATGTTATTTAAAGCATTCAAGTTAACTATTTAATTACATAAAATGTGTACTTATGATTTATCTACTCTTTTTCACCAAATTACTAGATTATCTAAATGAATTTGTTTCTTTACAGCAATATTAACTAAAGATGGTCATACTGTAGTCCTAGTTAAGATCCAGGACAGGAATAGTGTAGAAATTACAGTGAATGGCGAAAACATTTTCCAATGTGACATCAATGATTTAGATTATGGTAAGCAGATTTCTTTGTTCATAACCTGAAAAATTAAAAATTGTAAAAAATGTTTATATATATATATACGAGGTATGTTAAAAAAGTTTGTGGATTTTTGCTGTCATTTTTTACTTGGTTCATAAAAACACCCTTGGTGGATATGAATCGAAAGAGTGTCTTTACTTCTAAAAGTAAGATTTACTTTTATTGTAAACATTTATTTCCTTTACGAGTTATGTGCACTTTAATAACCATGGCAACGCAACATAGGCGCAAGTCGAAATTTTCATATAATGTTTAAATATACATGTATACAAATGTTGAAACAAACTGAATGATTGTTTTATGAAGTAAAATACAAGTAATCATCTAATAATATTTAAATGACATAAATCTGAAATTTGACTTCGTTTGGACGTTGAATAGCTGAACAAACAAGTTTTGAGCAGCAGTAGACAGACAGGTAAGTTGGGAAGTATAAAGTTCTTTAAAAACCTAGAAATTTGCTCTTTTGGAAATTTTTACCAATAAATGTGGGATACTCCTTCATATTTTTATGTGGTGATTAAATTAACTAATAACAATGAGTTGGCGAGCAAGTCTCTTGGTTTCAGGTCGCGCAAGCGATTCACATACGGAAAATACATGCTCACAGGCAGAAAGGGCGACGAAGAATTTTTAGCGGCAAATTGTTGGGACATTTGTAACGTCAACTGCAAAAGCTCTACAGAAGTCCAGACAGTATGAAAGATTTGCGAGATGTCCGACATGTTTAATTTCTGCATCGGGTCTATGCATTCAATTCTGACAAAACGATTTAATTTAATTAAAATAGTATTTTATTTCATTCACCAGGATATATGCGTATTTACAATAAATAATTGTAGTTATTATTTGTATTACGTGTATTTACCCTGGTCTGTTTGATAATTAATGCTAACCGGTGTTCAGTAGATTTACCGCATAGAATAATTGTCAGTTGATAAAATGTTTTTCTTTATCATTGATAATCATATTGTTTAAAGATCGGACAAGGGCGGTTTCAAATTAATACTATAAATCAACAATTGAATTAACTTAATAAAACTGTCCGTTAAGTGTCGAAATTACTCAAAAATCCCGATAAAGAGCGGAAAGTATGCGGCACTCGGACCTTTATACGGAGAATGGAGCGAAAAGATGACCACTTTATATCTCGGGTCATCATCACAAACAGAAAAATGGTTTTGGTATAATGATCCGCAGATATTGAACACTAAAAAGAGAACTTTCAGAAACAATGACGCTGGTAAAATGTTTCATTTATATTGCGACATCACAAACGTCATTTTGTTTCATCATCAGCGTGCGCCGGATTGTGCATCCCTTGTGATTTGTAACTGTCACAGAATTGTTATTTGCAAACATATTGAATTGACTTTTTCACTGTTAAATAAGGACATATTTTCGTATATGTCTCTTGTAAAATCATATACGCAAATTAAAAGATGTGAACAGTAGAGCCGCAGTCCACAAACTTTTTGAACAGCCCTTGTATATATATTTTTCTTTTTTTTTCTTCTGTAATACACATGGGGATATAATATAGAAAGGATTCATACTTTGACAAAACTAATGTGACAAGACAGACTGATTAAATTTATAAAAAGGAAACGTTAAGATTTGTTCAAACGTTTCTTTGTTTGTAAAAAGTCGAGCGGTGGCTCTTGTTGATTCAAGAAATCATATAGAGTGACATGTTCGGTTCAAAATTAGGATGATTATCTAATGAACAATATATTTTGATATAGAATCACAACATTCTGTTGCAGTAAGTGAATTTCAACATAGTTCCATACTGAAAGTGTAAGCATAAGTATTCACAATTAAACAAGGGTTCACTAAAATGGCTCTGGATTATGATCCATGGACTTAAAGGCAGAAACCTTCACCACTAGGACAACACTCCCTTTAAATGTTGTTTTCACAATCCAAGTAAAAAATTTATGAGATGTTGTGTTCATGGGTTAGAATTAAAATATTGTACTCATGAGTGAAACAAGAAATGTGTCGTTAATGAATTAACTACAAGATAAATCTTTGACTGGGAATGATATGGTTATAGTGTTTATGAGTGAGATAAGAGCTATGGCCATAGATGACATACAGTAGCCTGGAACCCCGTTGTATCGATCTATTTACCTATAAATCACAACTGCAGTTAAAAAAATTAAATATTCCTGAATCTTTATTTTGTATCATTTATTTTGATCCTTTTGTCATAATATTTACATGGCAAACATCACTGATATATACTTTTTAACGGACATGTCAAACAGTTTGAAGAATTAGGTCACGCCATTATATCGATGCATTGTGAGAATTGCTCAGTTAGTCAAAGTTTGGGAAGCCTGACTCATCTTTATGCTAGATTTTTCAGTCAATTAGAATCAAAGTTGTATGTTTTAAAATGTCAGCATAAATTTAGGAACTTTTAACAGACAGAAATGTGCTTTTAATAAGAACACACTATTTATAAGTCTATTTATTATCTACAAAGTCTGACGGTACTGGAAACATGTTTTTGGTCATTTTTTCGGCTCGAAACAGATGAAAAAGAATTTCGTGACACTGTTGTAAATGTTAGCAATCAGTAGCTAGTGCATTTTGCAAAAAAATCGAAAGATTTGTAAATTGATCGATACAATGAATAGCACGATACAATGGGGTTCCACTATATGTTGTGTTCACAAAAGAAATACAGTATGTTGTGTTCCTAAGTGAAATACAATATGCTCTTTTCATAAATGAAATACAGGATTTTGTGTTCCTTAATGAAATACAATATGTAACTTATTATGCACATTTCGAAGAAGAGGGTGTATATTGTTTTGATAATGTCGGTCGGGTGGTAGGTCAATCTGTCCGCCAGTAGACCACATGGTTTCCACTGATTATCTTAAAAACTATTTATCACAAAGTCTTCATATTTCACATACTGATTGGTTTTAACAAGTAGATGACCCCTATTGATTTTGGGGTAACTAGGTCAAAGGTCAAGGCTATAGGGGCCTTAAAGGTCAAAATGGTTTCTGCTGATAATCTTGAAAACTATTCATCATAAAGTCTTCATATTTCACACAGTGATTGATCATAACTAGTACATGACCCCTATTGATTTTGGGGTCACTAAGTCAAAGGTCAAGGTCACAGGGACCTTTAATGTCAGAATTGTTTCCGCTGATTATCTTGAAAACTAGTCATCACAAAGTCTTCATATTTCAGATAGTAATTATTGGTCATAACTGGTAGATGACCACTATCGATTTTGGGGTTACTCGGTCAAAGGCCAAGGTTACAGGGGCCTTTAATGTCAGAATGGTTTCCACTGATAATCTTGAAAACTATTTATCATAAAGTCTTAATATTACACACAGTGATTGACCCCCACTCCCCTTCCTAGAAGAGGGGGTATATTGTTTTGCTAATGTCGGTCTGTCCAAGGTCAAGGTCACAGGGGCCTTAAATATTAAGAGTGATTTCGTCATTAAATTGATTACTTTTTATCACAAAGTCTTCATATTTCACACAGTGATTGGTCATAACTAGTAGATGACACCTATTAATGTTGGGGTCACTAGGTCAAAGGTCAAGATCACAGGGGCGTTGAATGGTAGTATGGTTTCGGCTCATTATCTTGAAAGCTAGTTATCATATAGTTTTCATATTTTACATAGTGATTGGTCATAACTAGTATGTGACCGTTATTGATTTTGGGGTCACTAGGTCAAAGGTCAAGGTCACAGGGGCCTTAAATGTCAGAATAGTTTCAGCTAAGCATTAATATGAAAACTATTTATCACAAAGTCTTCATATTTCACAAACTGATTGGTCATAACTAGTATGTGACCGTTATTGATTTTGGGGTCACTAGGTCAAAGGTCAAGGTCACAGGGGCCTTGAATGTTAGTATAGTTTCAGCTCATAACCTTGAAAACTATTTATCACAAAGTCTTCATATTTCACATAGTGATTGGTCTTTACTAGTAGATGACCCCTATTGATTTTGGGGGCACTAGTTCAAGGGTCAAGGTCACCAGGATCTGTATTGTCAAAATGGTTCCGCTGATTATTTTGAAAACTATTTATCACAAAGTCTTCATATTTAACATATTGATTGGTCATAACTATTTGATGACCCCTATTGTTTTTGGGGTAACAAGGTTAAAGGTCAAGGTCACAGGTGTCTTTAATGTCAGAATGGTTTCCGCTCATTATCTTGAAAACAATTTATCACAAAGTCTTCATATTTCACATATTGAATGGCCATATGTAGTAGATGACCCCTATTGATTTTGAGATCAAAGGTTAAGGTCACAGGGGTCTCAAATGTAAATATGATTTCTGCTTATTACCTTGAAAACTTTTTTATCACAGTCTTCATATTTAACATATTTATTAGTCATAATGGGGTCACTAGTTCAAAGGTCAAGTTCTTTATATTTCACATATTGATTGGTTATAACTAGCAGGTCATTATTTTTCTTTCTTCCATGTACCCATTTATGGCAAGTTTCTATAACAAAATTACCAATAATGCTAGTCAAGGCGTGGGTTTGATCCCCGGGAGATGCTTTGGTAGTTTAGCACGGAGGAAGGTAGCCTAGTACTTGTGTAACTCTCCAGGAACGATGGTTAGGAAACTACCTGCCTATATGACTGAAATACTGTTGGGAAAAGGCGTAAAATGAAACAAACAAACAAACAAAGCTAGAAAGGGGGTTTTCTCAACATTTCTTGTAATACTTTGTTTGTGACTCTAATGTATTATTTGTTACAGTTTTCATGTTTTACAAATCATTCAGGTGAAAATTACAAGACTGCTGGTTATGTTATAACCTTGACCTTGGGGGTAGCCACCTGATTTTTGCCCTTTGTAGGTGAGATGGTGATCATTTGTGCCAACATCATTAAAAATTTCAGTAGTTAAAAAGTTATGAAGAGGACACAAAATTTGAACATTTGACCTACTGAATATTGGGCTCCACACATCAGGTCATTATGGTGAACATTTGTACAAAGTCATTTTAAAAACTTTTCAGAAGTTTTAAAGTTGAGGTGTTGGTAGTTTTCACTCCGAATTACGGCAGTAAGCTACATTGAATTCACCAACGCACAGTTCAACCACCGCATCGTTCCTGGGCAGGCTGTCAAGCAGTTTACCAGTACTAGTTGCCTTCACTTTCGCAAGGAACTGAAACTTCTGTACATGCCGGAGCAGAGGTACAGTGCAAATGACCGTAGAGAGTGACCAGTGCTGTTTTAAAGCTAACCTCATATATATGTGATTAAATGCACTTTTGACCCCCCCAGGCCTCAACTAGTGAAAAATTGTCCTATTTAGGCCCAAAAACACTCGTTTTCAGTTGCAAATTGATGTTACGAAAAGTGCTCACTTTTTTTTGGTGCAGCCCTCTATCAAAAAGATAAATCAGGGGGGTGCCAGAGGGGGATGTGCCCTCTTCTGCTAGGAGGTTTGAAGGAAGACTTCTGCCCCCCTTAACGCCAAGAAAATTTTGGACTTGTGAGAGGCTAAAAATAGCCTCAGGTCAATCTTAAGGTAAGATTTTACCAACACTGAAAAGCATTTTGACTCTATCTCAATCCATTGAGAAGTTGCATCACTTTGAAATCAGTTTTAATGGGGAAAAAAATCCGCAAAATAGTGATTTTTGGCAATTTTGAGATATTCCCCCATTGCCATGGTAACAATAAATTTAAGATTGAGCATGCGTTTACAAAGGCTATGGTCCAGTTAACATTTGTGCCAAGTTTGATCAGTATTAAAGCATTTTTTTTTTATAGTTTCATGAGCAATATGAACTTGTAACAGGAGGCTTTTCAATGAAAACGGCCATTTTTCACAAAATGCTCATGGAGTAATGGGTGAAAGGAGCTGACAGGAAAATGTGAACTATATCATTTCACCTTTTAGTGTGACCTTGACCTTGGGGGTGGACACAAAAGTGTTGTGACAGATAATCCCCTCCCCACTTTCCTGAACGGGATTAACAAAATGCCATGATATCTTTTCATAAAGAAACAAAGTTAATGTTGAAAATCTATGAATTTTATTGGTAAGTTCGGTTAAACGTTTCACACAATTATTAGGTCACCGTTTGAACGGTTAGCATATTTTTCTAACCGTGACACCCCTATATTTCAGTAGATGCATGGTCTTACAAACTTTCCATATATAAATATTCTTTTAATGACCTTTATTGACCTGTTTTAAAGTTAGAATTGTACCTGTTTATTAACCCTGATCTTGCTGACAACAGATTCTACCCATTGCAGATAAACATCTGGTCATGATCTGCACTGTTCATTATTCAGTCAGTACATATTTTGAAATTTGTATATAATTATCCCAAAAAATGCCCAGAAGGGGAGATAGACAAGTCCATTTTAAATATTTGATGGAGGAAGGGTTAATATAAGGCATTTTGATATTAAAATCCAAGAGTATAGGACCTTGACAGCCTGCATGCTATTATAATTCAACTTCCATCTATTTTCAGGATCCGATGGTGAACTTGACCAGTTGTGTATCCAAGCTAAAGATGCAGTAAAGAAAGCTTATTAAAGAATGCAACATCAACTCTTCATGCCATCAATTATCATTGTATATAAACTTGACCTGTGACATTAAAAGATACAGTAGCTCTTGTAGAATAACAAACAACTTAATACTTTAAACTAGTGATTTAAAAATAAATTCATATAATTTATTTTTGAGTAATAAAAAAAATTGATGTATATTTTGAATTTTTAAGATATTTTACACATGAAATACAAACAGATTGTATCTGGTTATTTTATGTTCACAAGTTTATGAATTTTAACTGTTTTTCAAATTTAATATTAGTATCTTATTTCAAAATGCATTCTTAAGTAACTGTTGTTTTCTGTTAATTTAATTGAAAATTTGTAAATAAACTAGGTTAAAGTTCATTGATTATCTTTATTTTTATACAATTGTTTGTTTCTGTATTATTATTTTTTTTTGGACACATTAATTATATTCAAATTTATTTGTAAAAATTTGTTTTTATAATGCAATAAAATGTTACATTTTACTATACACATCTTGCTTATCATATATTTAAGAGCAACAAAGTTGAATAGGACAATATGCAACCCCAATAAGCTTCTTAAAATAAGTTAAGTCGTAGAGGATATTCAAGTTTTTTCTATAAATACAGGAATTATTTTCAACTAGTGGCATGAAAATAAATATTTCATGAGTGGCGGTAGCCACAAGTTAAATATGATAATTTTCATACTACAAGATGAAAATAAATCCAGTATTGATAGCAAAAACTTGAATTTTCTGTTTATTATATTTTTTTTTCTCTTTTTTCACATTACAATTGAAAAGACTTTCCCTTAAATTTTGTGTATTGACTGAATTTAGAAGAAAATAGTCCATCAAGACACCAATGAAACTACAGAAAATATGTTTCACTGCAGTGAAAAAAAATTTTTACAGTGAAAATATGAATAATGAAATTACGCATTTAACTTCATCAATATTTCTAAATATTTCATTTATAAGTATTATAATAAACAGATTTATTACCTCTATAACTTGAGCTAGTCAATGATTAATATAGGATTATTTACTGAACAGAAGTTTTCTGCAGTTAGAGATTTTCCAAACCAAATACAAAACATGGCCCTAAATTAGCCCTTAACTTCCTTATAATTTCAATATCTCACCATTAACAAGTTGTTAATAAATTTTGACTATGTTTTTATTTGTTTGGGTCGTCAGACCAAACAGAAAATAGTAGCGAAATTTCAGACCCTGATATGCTTATTTGCAAAATTCGCAGTCCGTCACGAACTCCTCGAAGCAGTTACTTTCCATTAATTTTCAAACCTTCTCTCTGAAAGGAAGAAAAAAATAGTTCCTGATTGGTCGAAGATTTCTAATATTGTGTAATTCTTTAACATTTTCGCAAATTACTGGTAATATATATTCAAATAATTTTGTTACGCGGATGAATATTTTAATTAATGAAAATTGCTTTGCTATTTCCGTAAAGCTTCAGATTATTGTGATTGCCTTAATAAACATTTGTTATTTAGACTTTCTGAAAAATAAAGTAAGGATGTTGACTCTAGGACAGGACGACTTTAGGCAGTCGACGATCGATAATCAATTTCAATTTAATTCGAAAGGATTACAAATCCTACTTCAGAAAAATGTGGTTTGCTTCAGACTGTTTTCTCATGTTGTTTTGTTTCTTTTTAACTTTTTTTTTTTAAATTGTTTAATCCAAAAACATTGAATTGAATATCAGTCTTGCAATCAGCCTTATAGCCAATTTACACAGATATAACACTGGAAACAGCATTGTTGGCAGTACACAAAAACAAATTGGTTTATAATCTCACAACTTTCACCTTTCTGACATTCTGAGACCCAAACAAATTCAGTGCCTTCTGTGCTTTGATTATTGTTAGAACTATTTACTAAAATTTGGCTTAAAAAAAAAATTGAGCTACAAGTAATTTAGAGTTGAGTCATGCAGACTGCTGTATGTGTAGTGTGGTGGCTCTATATACTGGATACGAAGGAGGTTAAGGGATGGTAACTGGCTTTGAATGGTCATTGCATGAAATGACAGGGTATTGTTGTCTAACAGGATTTAGTCTTTTTGGTACTCTAATTATCTCAAATAAAAATTGCTATCCAATAAGCTATCCTCAAATTTTAAACAAATGTGCTTCCTTGTTTTTGCCTATAACTTTTGAATGCCTCCTCTTTTTCTTAGAAATATTGACAGAGAATATGTCATAACATTTAAGCATAAATGTGGTTTTAATCATTCATACTTTCTTTCGAAGAAAAAAAAAGAGGTATTGTAACAGTCATGGGGGTGTTCCAGTTGCCATCAGGCAGCAAACTTGAACCTTGAACATAACTTTTAAAGTTGATATTGTATTGTCTTCATACTTGGCCACAACAACCTTTGTGACAAGACCTTTAAGTAGACACGACTTAACATGACCTTCATTCATAAAGACCTTGACCTTTGAGGTCAAATGTTTAAATTTTGCTTGATTTTTGGTATTATAAGCTAAAACTTTATTTTTGAACGGATTGTCTTCAAACTTGTACACAACAATCTTTTAAAATACACTTTCAAGTTAAATAGACATACCTTGACCGTCACTCATAAATGACCTTGACCTTGAAGGTCAAAGTATTGAAATTTTATCATTTATTTGCTGTAACTGGCTATAACTTTGTTATTAATGAATGGATTGACTTCATATTCAGGATAAGAACTTCATGTGTATCAAATTCATACTGACCTTGGCTCATTTATGAGCTTGACCTTGATGGTTAAATTATTGATTTTTGCTTTAATTTACTGAATCTTGGTTATCAATAAATGGATTAACTTCATACTTGGACAAAACAACTCTTTGGACAAAACCTTCTAAAAGGTTGAATTGATCTTGACCTTGAGCTTAAATTGATCTTGACTGTCAAGATCAAATTATTGAATTTAAGTCAAATTGTCATAATTTTGTTATTTATGTACCGATTTAATTCATATGCGGACAAAACAACACTTGTGACCAAACAAACATGTTTAAAATTAAGATATGACCTTGACCATTCTGACCAATTTCCAGGATATTTGGACTGGAACAATAGTCCCTAGAATGTTAACAAAGTTAAGACTGTGTGACCTTCTTTTTGAACCAAAGTGATCCATATTTCAACTTGACCTAGAAAGCACCATAACAAATTTTCTCACAAGTTTCCAGGATATTTGGACTAAAACAGAAGCCTCTAGAGTGTTCACAAGGTTTTTCTATTTTTTAGCTCCTGTGACCTTGTTTTTAATTGGAGATGATCCGTGTTGGAATTCATCCCAGCAATTAATTAGACAAGCATCCTGACCAAGTTTGATGACCATTGAGTCAAAAATAAGACCATTAGAGTGTTAACAAGGTTTTTCCATGTTAAGGCCATGTAACCTAGTTTTTGACCCCAGGTGAACCATATTTGAGACTGACCAAGAAATCATCAAAACAATCTCTCTGACCAATTTCCATGATATTTGGATCAAGACAGTAGCCTAGAGTGTTAACAAGGTTTTCCCATATTAGGGCTGTATGACCTAGTTTCTGAACAAAAGATGACACATGTTCGAACTCATCCACAAGCATCCTAACCAAGTTTGATGACAATGGAGTCAAAAAAGTGACCACTGCAGTGTTATCAAGGTTTTTTCCATATTTGGGCTGTGTGCCCTAGTTTTTGACCCAAGGTGACCCATATTTGAACTTGACCGAAAAATCATCAAAATAAACTTTCAGACCAAGTTCGAGGATATTTGGATCAAAACAAAACTTAGCCATTAGAGTGTTAACAAGGATTTGCTATCCGTTTTAGTCTGTTTGGAGGAATAAAAAGTATCTATCGTGTTTCATGCATTAACATTTTAAGCTTCTCTGGAACCACTGAACTAATTTCAACAAATTTGGCATAAGGCATTTATGGGTGAAGCAGAACAAAAATTGTGAAATTCATGGCCCCTATGTCCCTGGGGCCTGAGGGGTGGGGCTAAAACCATGAAAAGTAATGCAATCTTTAAAAATCTTCTTCTTTACTCCAGGGCATCAAGCCGTCAAACTGTTGACATGCTTGTAATAAGCCAAATTGGGAAATTCATGCCCTTCGGAAGTCTGCTCATTTCATTGCTGTGTTTGGGGTGACATTGTAGAATGGCAGAACGACAATAAGGAGAAATAAATATAAATTGAGTTTTTTAAGTACAAAATGTTCATCATGAGACTTCGTGTCATGCAAATAAACCAGATCACTGGGTCAACAAGGTCACCTAAGATTATGTAATGTCAAGATTTTACCTTGTGGATATGTTGCCTACTTCTCACCTATGTATACATCTTTCTCCTTGATCTTGGCTATTACTTTGTTATTAATGAATGGATTGATTTCATATTATATCACAACACCCTTTAGGATAACACCTTCATGTATATTGAACTCAAATTGACCTTGGCTCTTATATGACCTTGATGTTGAAGGTTAAATTATAGAATTTTACTGATTTTTGTTATAATTGATTGGTACATATAACTTGGTAATTTATAAATGGATTATCTTCATAATTTGACAAAACAACATTTTGGACAAGACCTCCTATAAGTTTGACTGACTTTAACCCTGACCTTTAAATGACATTGACCGTCAAGGTCAAATTATTTAAATTTGCTTATTTTATCTTTTAACTCCTGTGCACAGTTTAAGATGTAAACTTGAACTTTGATATCAACTGACCTAGAATTTGACCTAGTGACATAATTTCTTGTCCATTTCAGCTAGCTTAAGGTGAGCTTTTAGGATCGTTGAATGCCCGTCATCCATTGTCCGTCAACACTAAAGTGGTAACATTTTTGCCCCAATCATCATCAAACTTGGTCAGGTTGCTTATTTTAGTAACTGCTCAGATGAGTTAGAATCTCTCAACACATGCGGCCCAGTAACTATAATATAGCTGATATTACAATGACCCTCTTGTTTTATGTACAGCATAATTCGAACCATGTTTTACATGTAAAATTGAACTTTGATATCAACTGACCTAGATTTTGACCTAGTGACCTACTTTCTTGTTCTTTGATGTATAGCTATGAAATTTGGACCACATATGCAGTTTTAGATGTGATATCAGCTGATATAATTTTGACCTAATGACCTACTTTCTTGTTCTTATGTACAGCTATGAAATTTGGGCCATGTGCAGTTTTAGATGTAAAATTGAGCTTTGTTATGAGCTGATCTAGATTTTGACCTTGTGACATACTTTGGCTTTATTCCTTTTTCTATATGCCCGAAAGGGCATATTATGTTATACCCCCTGGCGTCTGTCTGTCTGTCCGTCCGCACTCACAGGACAGTAATTATGTGGTTAGAGGGACAATAGGTAACTGTTCTTTCTCTTTGATGTCATTCATTCCTTAATGCTTTTATGTGGCTATTTTCTTTTGTGTGGCTAAAAAGAACAATAGAGTAGCCACATTATTACTCTCCTG